GACGTGTGCTCTTCCGATCTCTACGAATAATTGTTACTAATGAAACGTTTTATTTGATTCACACACTTGAATTTATTGATTTACTGTATCGAATCCATATTATTACTTATGTTTTATTACTTGTGAGGCACTTTTCTCAATTCGATCCTGGATTTAACATACTAGATGCTCACGTGATCTGGAAAAGGAGATCAAAGGCGCCGACATGAAGTGGACCTACCGGTTATACTGTGGTATAAAGTAGGCCTAAAAAATTAAGCTGTTTATAATGTGTATTATTGAAATATATAAATAACATTTATATCAACTCTTAGTTATAAAAAATGTTCACTGTATAAATTGAAACTAGAACGAATTATATTATGAGTAAATATAAATAGTAGTAAATATTATACTGCGTCAGACATCTATTTGTACTACCCTAAAGTTTAAAGTTATTTAAATTTTTTTTACAAATAAATCATTTTAGTTTTATTTTTCAATCAGTCTTTATTTTCAACATTATAAACAAGCAATGCAAGATGGAAGAGAATATTATTCTTGTTATATCTTATAAGCATACAAGATGCTAAATATTTTAAATATTCAGATACTGAAATTAAAATATAAGCGATACAATCTCTCAAATTGTTGACTATTTTTCAAATCATGTAATTCCTCGTTTTGCACAATCATTCTTTTTATTATGATATATAGCTTATACATACATACATATTTTTGTATACTCTAAGTATTCAGATATCACTGTATATTTTGTCAATAAGTCAAGTGTAAATCATAACAGAGATTTATATTATATATCTTAGTGAGTAGTATTATTGCGTCGTCCTCGTCTCTTGCGACTACTGCCAGATGAACGATTTGATGAGGCCCACTGCTCATAGAAACGTTCAGCTTCAAGCCATTCCTGATATTTATACCACCATTCCTCCCATTTGATATAATCATCGAGAGTAAGATCACGAAGGTATCCCCTTGCTTTGTAATAATCGTATCGAACGCGTACATCATCCCAACACTCAAAACCTCTTGGTCCTTGCGCCAATAGCGATTCAGGGTAATGACCGGGAGGTGGCGAATCATAGCCTAGGCGCGCAATTCTCTCCTCACCTTCTATAACGACTTTCATTGCATTCTCACCATCTTTTGTGATACGCATATTTTCCATGTCCCTACGATCCACGCTCCACTGTGCCATTTTACCAAATCTGTAGAAATATAGAATTATCTATTAAATGCAAAAAAACTAAAGTTTAAATAAATTTGAATGTTGCAAATTTATTTGAGTTTTATTGTTGCAATACTGAATCATTTTTTAAATACCGTTCAGATAATGTCATTTTTGGGGGTCCCACATGAGATGTAGTAGAGGAACTATCGCTATCGTCACTAGGCGAAGATTCTGGTGGAGGTCGCATTATTTGTGATGCTCCATGACCCGTATGTGTCTTTTCTACTTTTACTGGTTTACGTATCTGCATAATTTTAATAGAAGTATTTATATAATAACTTTAATTTTGGAAAAATGCGCCGTTATACACGATGCAATATATTTAACATTTAAGGCGATGCCGGAAGGCGATGTTGGAAAAATTTGCACGAGGTCGATAAAACAAACTTTTCGGTGTTAGTGGTATCTCTAAATGAATTTCTTACAATCTCTTTTGTCTCCCTCAACACGTGCAATGTCCTTATCTAACTTATTAAAGTGCCATCTGTTGCAAAATGTGGCACTTATTGCTAGACGCAATTTTTACTGTCTTTGGCTTAGCTAAGCGTACGAATTACCACAAATTGTAGTTCAGTGGATATCTTTTTTTCTACGCTTTCAATCGTAGCTCAAAAGGCTTTGTATT